TTCACATATTTGAAAAATAAAAGTATATTCATTACAAGCATTTTAAAAGCGTTGAAAGTTATTATTTAAACTTTTGATCTGGAGTTTTGCGATAAAACATCCAACAATGGTCAGCCGTCATGCTTTGATTTTAAAATCTTTGGTAAAAAACATCCATAACTTATATGTTTTCGTGAATATGTTTCCCTTGCTCGTCACTCTCTACGTAAATATTTTCAGAAAAGAAGTCTAGATGGGAATGCAGGATGTGCATTTTCAAACACATTTAACCATAAGTTTCTTTATAAGCATAAATGAGTTTTGTAACTACACCCTTATATGCATGAAATTTTTTATCAGTCAGAAAGTTTACACATGTCCAATTGAAAGCCAGCTAAGCTTCCAGTGGATTGAGGCCTAGCCAGCAAGTCATATTGGGCACTACATGGGGCCCAATATGACTTGCTGGCTGGGCTTCAAATGAGTTGCCCACATCCCGCGGGATGTAGGCAACCCATTTTAGCAATTTTTCTTGGCGTGAATTAGGGCCCAAGTGGGCAGCCAACATGGGTTGCATATGTGAAACCCACGTCCGTCCCACTTTTGTTTATTTAATTTTTTTATAATATTTCGAATAATTATTTATTTATTTTTAAAATAGATACATATAATTTAAAATGTAGTCATAAAAATATCACGTGAGCCTAGGCTTATAAAAGTAAAACAGGAAGTCAAACAGAGAGAATAAGTTAATCGATAATAAATATTTATAAATATACCACAGCATTTAAATAATAAAACATTAAAAGTAATAGTCTTATATAAGTTCAAACCTTTTTTTAAATAATTTTAATTAAGCCCTTAAACAAAAAGAACTCCTCAACACCTGTCGGTTTATCATTTGCTTGTGGGTTTATAAAAACTCAAATAGTGTATACACTTTCAAAAACTTTTTATATATATATATAAAAAAAAAAAAATTATATACAATTTAAAACTCTTCTACTACCACAAATACTTGACATTGACAGCACTATTATGGAGTCTTTAAAATGGTTTGACTTTAAATAAAAAGAAGATTTTTCGAAAAAGAGTAAATTTGAATTTAGTTTAAAATTTGAAAGAAGCTTTGAGACGTAATTACATTTGAGAAATGTAAAAGAGTTTTCATAAAGTAAGTGATTTTTACTCTTCCAGCTAATTGTCTAGTGGAGTACCTCGCGTACCTAGTGGAGTACCTTATACAATCGCGCGCACGATCAGATAACATTTAAATTTAGAAAAAAAGATGGAATTTAACACTTTTTCAACTTCATATATGGGCCCTAAGTGAGCCTTATATGGGCTAACACTTGAATACAAAATTTTAACTTTTTTATCTACATATATGGGCCCAAAATGGGCCCTATGTAGGCTAGCCCTTAAAAAAAAAATTTTGTATTCAAGGGCTAGCCCACATGGGGCCCATTTTGGGCTCATAAATAAAGCCCACATAGGGCCCACTTGGGCAAACCGATATGGGCCAATATAGGACGTGTTTGCTGTGGTCTCTCTTTCCAATTTATTATCAAATAAAAGTTTCTGCATTTATAACCCAGCAAAATGACCTGTCTTTAATGCTGCTGCGCTAACGTTTAGAAACTTATTAAAAAGAAATTGCAACCTTTGTGAATTAGCTTTTCCCATTGCTTTAACAAAATTCTTTTTTAAACGAAGTTTAATGTAGAGAGGATGTTTTTTTGTGGATTAACTAAAAGTACATACTAGACACTACTTGTTTCTGGGACATATCTAGACCAGAGTGTCCATTCATGTTTGCTGCAGTGTTTAGTAGCATATCCATTAACATACGTATAACCTTAAGATCTTCGCAAATGTGCTATTGATGACTGTTATATTTGATTGTGTTGAGTAGTATATCCTTATTGTTGCATGTTTCTTAAGATGATGCACAAAATGGACAAAAAAAAAGAAAAAATAATGAAATTTTCATTATACAAGTACTGTTTTTAGGCTTCTTTAAAAAGTATTGCTTCCAGACTTCTCTGCAACAAATTGAACATTCAATGAGCATTGTTTAATGCTTTTAATGAGTTTTCAAATTTTTAATGAGTTGTCAAACATTTTAAAAGACTAATTTCTATTTTATTTGTTGATCCACAAATCATTGTTAAAAAGTTCGAAAGTTTTTTATTGGACATAAACTCATTGTCATTAAAGCTACTATATGCAAACATAAATGCACAGAACTCTATTATTGTTAAGTGTAAAAATTGATAATGATGACTAAGATTTGTTTCAATCTTCTTAATAAAACAAGATGGTAAACCATGACTTATACCAAAATCACTAAAACAAGCATCATTTTATTTTTTGGAGTTGAAGATTAAAACTTTAAAATTCTTTTTACAGTTTCTTTAGTATCATGACTAAATAAAGTATTTTAAACTTTATTTAAAGTATTTTAAACTACTTTTCATTATTTTGTGGAACTGTATTTTTATATTATGATATTGCACTTACTTTTCCAGAAAGAACAACTTTAAGTTTTGGTATTTCCAACAAGGCATTGACAGTTTATGAAACTTTACTTCAGAATTGTGTTTTATTATTTGTTTTATGTATTTAAACTCATTTAAGCCATCAATCACAAGCAATTTAAATTGATTAAAAATATCAGAATCTATGTAGACAACTAAATTATTGACACCAGAAATATTTTGGTATTAATTAAGCCATCTGCACTCCATAAAAATATATATAATTAACGCTTCTTAATAATAAATCTTAATAATAAATCAAATCAAAGATAATATTTTTAAAGCAATCATGTTTTACCAAAACTTGCTATGTCTGAAATTAGAATTATTGGTGCTTCATTATAAAGTACATCATAATATGAAATGGGTGTCCAATTTATTTGTTTTTAAAGATATTGACTGCGTTCAATAGGTTCCAGATGACGTTATGGCGAATTTTAAAATCTTTTTGGAACGACCCTGATTGGAATCATTTATAATTCCAAGGTATTTGATTGTGTTAGCAGAAATAATTTTATTGCCATTTAATCTAATGTTGAAGTTTTCATTGATTTTTGTTTTATTGGTTTGAATATGATCAATTTAGTTTTGCTATAGTTGAGAAAAAGCTTATTTATGCAAAGCCACTGAACTGTGGCTTTGCTTAAATAAGCAAAGCCACAGTTATGATTGACTAGATTATAGTTAATGTATTTTTTAATATTTTTTTAAAGACTTTTTGATAATGAGCAAGTCAACTTTAATCATCAGCAAAGTATTAAGAAGTTGTAAAAGTATTATGTTAATAACGACTTAATTGTATAAATTTAGGTAAAAAATGTGATCTTAATATTGAGCTTTCAGGGACACTTCATTTGAGAAAACTTTAAGTTATTGATTACAACAAACGGAGATCTATTTTGAAGAAAAGAAACAGACTATTTAAGAGGTGTTCCATTGATTCCATAATATTCTAATTTTTTGAGTAGGATAGAATGATCTACTGCATCAAAAGCATTTTATAGATCCACAAAGACATCACATTCAAAGCTTTTATCATCAAGAGCTTTTCTAATTGACTAAACATTTTTAAAATGTGAGTGGGTTTTGGCATGATTTGCACAAAACCCATACAAGTTTTTGTAAAGACATTCAAAATTATTTTTGTAAAGACATTCAAAATGCATAGAGCTTCTTATGTATTTAAAGAGTTTGCTTTGGTTAGAAAGAAGAGAGATAGGTCGGTAGTTAAATATATCTATTGTAGTACTTTTTTAAACATTGGAATAACGTTCGCAACTTTGATAGAACCTTGGAATAAACCATTTTAAAATAAGCTACTTATAATAATACTGAAAGGTGTAGAAGTTATGTCTGGAATAAGTTTAAGAAAGTAGGAAAACTTTATATAAATGATGTATTTTATCCCTTTTCAAATATACCTAATAATGCTTAGGTTTTCTCTAAAATATGTTGCGTAATAGTATTTTTTTACTAGATTGCGTAATAGTATAATTTTTAATAGATTGCTGATTATATTTCTATTAAAATCAAGTTTAGAAGTTCTAATATTGCTATATTTTTTGTTTTTTTTTTTATATAGCCTGTTTTTTTTAATGAAAATAGATTTAAATATGCCGTTGATGGTCTATGGGTTTCATTTAAGTTCATTTGTTGCTTGGTTAGTTTTTTGTATGGAGCATGTTGGACTAGATGTTTTCAAATGTTTTTAAAATAAAACTTATAGATTGGTTTACACCATTATCTTTTTTAATATAGTGATCTCAGTTAATGTTGGAGACATCTTCAACAAACATGTTTTTGTTATGTATGTTAAGTGTTACTTTTGTATATATATTAAAGTTATTTAAAGCATCGCCAGTAAGTATACTTTTTTAGGGTAGTTAGTTTTTCTTGGAATACGGATAAATTATACCGTATGATCAGATATTGAAATAGTAAGATTACCAGAGATTTGGTCAGGTAAAATGAAGTTTATAAAAATATTATTAATAAGTGTTTCTGATTTAGCTTATTATAGTTATTAACGTAATATCAATTTCATAATTAGTATTTAAACAAAAGTTATAAAAAGTTATACACCATAGTAATAGTCATTTTTAATAAATGGCAATTAAATATTACAAATGATATATTTGAAAACAAATTAATTATATATAATTTTGATAATAACAGAAATATTAAACTTTCAAATAATAAATGTAATGTATTATTAAAATTATTTCGTAAACTTAAAAACGCATTAAATTATAAATTAATAAATAAAATATTTGCTTAACTATTTATAATTTTTGTTTTGATATATATAAGTAAGATGTTAAACGTTTTTCCATGTCATAAAGCTTTTTGAGGTTATATAGGTTTTTGAGGTTACGAAAAACTTTTCCACGATAGTTGAACTCCTGGATTAAACAAATGGATTCGTTGTTTGAATATCAACTTCTTGATATTCGAGCCACGAATTCATTCATAAAACATTAGTTGAACATAGAATAAAAGAAATTCTTCTTCATTATTTACAATATTTTTGGAAACATGTAACGTCGATGACTTCTTTTCATATTTCTTTCTACGATAACTTTCTGCCAGATTATCATTAATCACATGATTAACAAAAAACTTTTCGAAGACGTTTTGAAAGAAGTTTCGTAAAGATCGTTTATCCAAATAACCCACCATCGTTTGTCAACGCTTGATTTTATTTCGTCGTCAAACGATGACTTTCATGAAAACATTCGGTGAATAAATGCTAATGATTATAACTTTCAAATTTACTTAAATTTTTTACTTTGGTCAACGTAACATTCAATGAGACAACCTAAACTAAAATTAATCATTAACTATAAAACAAACAAGCAAATAAATAATAATCGAAGTAACATTATTTACTTTGGTCAACGTAATATTCAATGAGACTATCTAAATTAAAATTAATTATTAACTATAAAACAAACAAGCAAATAAATAATAATCGAAGTAACATTATTTACTTTTTAATATTCTGTGTATTTATACATTTACTATTACTAAATTATAATTTAATAAAGATTATATACAGTTTAATAATGAATAGATTATATTTTACATAATAATATAATATACATAAATTATAATTAAATTATAATATTACATAAAAAAGTTAAAACTGTGAAATTTTTAAATAAAATAGTCCTTTAAAAAAAATTACATAAACCTATTGGATATTTTTAAATTCATTAACTTAAACATAATTTTTATCACATTTTTATGAATTATAATTTAATTTTAATACAAATTATAAACTAAACAGACTTAAAGCAATAAAAAAATATATTATTATATTATATACACCGAAAAATAATAAATTTTTCTCATTCCTAACAAATATCATCGTTTGGTTGTTTTGATAAAGCACAAAAAAAACACATTTTGTTAAAACACATATTCAAGGTTTCAAAACACATATTCAACTAAATGTTTTTAAAAATCATGTTTCTAAGGAATTTTTATAAAAAGAATTATTGATTTGATTTTGATATTAACTAGAAACTTGAGGAAACGAGTTCTTAAGAAATGAGGACAGTTTATATTTTATCAAACATTTTATCTCTATTGATATACTTTTATAAATTTTTTAAGATAAAATATGTGATTCGATCTGCGTTTCTTCAAATAGACCAAGCAATAAAAATCGAAACAAAAATATGTAATTAATAAGTCAAATGGAAAAAGGAAATACTTATGAAAAAAAATCTGTCATTGCAAATAATTAGTACAGATAAGGTATAAACGGACGAAATAAGGAAACAAAAAAGAAAAATTCACGTTCACAAGTTATAATCAACATAATTTCATCACTTAAGCAGCAATATGTAAATTTTAATTTGTAAAAACAAGCAATAAACATACCTTAAATAAACCGACAATCGATTAAATTAAAAAATTACCATATATCACATCATATGTATCCTGTTTAAAATTTTGTTTTAAAAAGTAAAAATTGAAATTCATGCAACATTTTAACGTAAACAAGAAAAAAGTTCTTAAATCTTTTCACAAACCTTGGTCTTCTAGATGTAGAAAATTGTTATGCGCAAGCACAGTATCAAGTAAAAACATTACAACAATAACATTTAAAGTTTATTTAGTAGTTTTTATTTATACATTTTTAATATAATAAAAAACATTCACTTATAAAAATAAAATAAAATAATCCTACTTCTGTAAATAACTTGACGTGATAAAAGATAAGCATCACAACAAGACAAAATGAAGGCTTTGTACAATTAAAATAACATTTTTAACTTTTTGATTTGACTTTTTTAATCAAAAAAACCAAACCAAAAATGCATCTACCGCTCTCTAATCGTTTATTTGAACTTATCAACTTTTATTTATACAAACAAACTCAAATTATGTGATATCTTTATTTATGTGTTGACACAAATATAGCTTTATTGTGTGTTGTCACGATCAAAATTTTTTTTCAATGTTATATATTGTTTACGCGATGTTAAAAAATTCCAGATTGCCTCTAGATATTGAATGACTGTTTTACTTAATTTAAATGCAAGTCTGACGTCAGCTTTTATATATAAGATTATATATAAAAAGTTATTTTTGCATAAAATGAATAAAAATTTACTCTCTCGTGTACAAAAAAGTTATATATAGTACCTAAAATATCCAGAACAATAAATATATTTAATTCACTCAACAATTTCACTCAAATATATTTATTATACATTTGTTGGTAGTAAATACTTTATTTCCTTAGGTATTCAATGGTAATTATTTTAAACACATAACTTGACAACAAAAAACATTACTAACTATTGTGTTCAGTTGTTAGAACAAGAAAATAAATTGCTTTTAGTGCCAAGAACCCTGACGTCAAAAGGTCGCATGCGATATTAAGTCAATACTATTAACAAAAGTTCATTTTACAATTGGCAAAGTTGACGTTTTGGGTTAGTGTTCTTTATGACGATTCATAATAAGATTTTAAATATTTGATAAAACGCAGACCAGGAATAATATTGTTTCTAAAAATGTTGAATTAGTATCAAAAGATTATGAAATCACGAAACTGTATTTTATTAAAAGCTCAAAATATCACTTTGAATAATCTGAAAGAAAACTAACCAACATACATAGTAAAACATAAAACTTGTTTTAAATTAAAAATATTGTAAAACTCAGAAAATTTTTGCCCTAAACCACGGGGAAGAGAGCACTAAGATTAAAATAAGGTTTAGGTTTCTTTATTCCTTTCAAATTTTTTCCACAGCATTTTTACCAAAGCATTAAAAAAATTAATTAAAAAAAGCTGCCGCGATCCCTGACATTGTTTTAAGCCTTTTTTTATCGTAACTAAAAGAAATGAAGGCAAAAAGTGGAAATAGTTATCTATTTAAAATTTATTAATTTAGGATAAATGTATAAACTTAATTTCGGATACATGTTTTCCAAACAAACTAAAAATCAAAAAATTTCAATAATTAAACAATTTTAAAATGTATTTTAAAAAGTAGTGTACTCAATTTCCTTAAAGGAACAGAGCAATTATAAATTAGTAGAAAAACAATATTTCTCTTTTTACACTGTGTTTCATCAATAAAGACTCATCAGAAATGAATGATCAAATTAATAAAACTTCAATTTATACCAAAAATTAAATTACAGGAAGTCGCAAACTTCTGTAAATTTTCACACATTTGTGAAATTTGCTGACACTTTTATAAAAAGAATTCTTTGGAAATGATTTCTGTTGCTTTTTTAGAAAAATGTTTTTTTAAATAGAGACTTAAGAAACTTATTTGTGTGCCTTCATTTAGAAATTAATTCCTTTTTTTATTTAATAAACATAAATTTTAATATAACAATTAAATTTGCAAAAAACCACACAGTTATTTCTAAACAAACAATCTAGATAACAATAAATAAAAGAAAAACCTTCTTTGTTTAAAAAAGGAAACTCGGAAAAAGAAAAACATACATGACTGCTTTGATTTAACAATGATGTTATTAAACTAATGACAGTTATGACGCAGTAGAATCTTGGGACTATACATTTTAGATTTATTAAGTTAAATAATCAATATAAATTTATATTGATTATTTAACTTAATATATTTAAAATGTATAGTCAAACAAATTCACAAGTTTCTTCTCCGTCATAACTGTCGATTGTTAAATCAAAGCAGTCATGTATGTTTAAAACATTAATGTTTTAGATCTTTATCGCGACGATGGTTGAAAAGCAATTCATAAAAAATTTGGTCCACAGCATGATAAAAATTAAAAAAGATGTTATAAATTTTTTTTTAAATATTGGCTTTCAAATCGAAACACAGATAAATTTAACATATATACATATATGTTAAATTTATCTATATACGGCACATATAGTTTTTTTTCAGAAATAAAACCTATATAGGCACGTGTTTTTCACGATCCAGGCCTAAACCAAAAGCACGTGTATATTACGGGTAGTTTTACTAGAGTTTAATACGTGTTTTTTGAGGTTTTAAAGTCAAATTTAAATGTCGCATGTTTTTATCATTGGTTTCACATTCCTTACGGAAAGTCATTACAATATGATACTACGTTTCCATAACTGTGAAACCATTAATACTTTAACTGGTATTTATGGTAAATAGTTATAGTTAATTTCACGGAATAAAAACCATTTTTGATACGTGTTATTCTTTTTATTTTAGAAGGTTTTAAAAACGCAACAGAAACCAAGCGTAACTATTTTCTGAGTTGTACCGGCTGGCATTTAACTTCTCCGAAAATTCATATAAGTCTTTCAAAATAATCAAACGATGAATTACTAGCTGAGATCAGACCCAAAAAAATAGGGTCTTTGTAAGTCAATTCCAAACCAAACTTTGCTCTACTTTTTCCCTATACATCTTAGTATTCCGGATCGGTAAAATACGGGTCTTAACCAAGCTTACCATTTCTGTCCACATTTATTCTACACTGATTAAATATATTCCTATTCCGTATTTAATTCTATATTTTTTAGTAAAACAATTAATTCTAAAAAAAAATTCAAGAGTAAAAAACTTGTGCAACCTTTCCGCATATGTAGAGGTTATAAGAGACTTATAATTAGGTTTATTTTTCTGTTAAATGCATTTAATTTGATAGCTCAGTAGTTAAGTGCGCTATCATTAGTTTTGATTTGGGGGTTTAAGACTTTTCCTCAGCGTAATAAACTTTGAAATTTTTTTAATCATGCTTATGTACTTATAACAAAAAAAAAAAAAAAAAAAATTAATAACCTAGCAAAAAAGATTTCTAAAATTTAAAGAAAATTTTTAAAGTTTTCTCATTTTATAGATATATTATACGCGATTATCTCTATAAAATGCAAATTCAATGTATGCTAAAGACGTTTACACCTGCAAACGTTTGAACGTAACGCTATACAAATACAAATAAGAAGATCTTAGACCACTAAAAAAAAAAAAAGTCGTAAAAAAAGTGCATTTTAATGATTATTATTAAAAACTGAAAAATAATATAACCTTAACTATTATCCATTAATCTAAAAGTTAAGCCAAAAATATTAAAAAGTTAAGCCAAAAATATTTTGCGCATTGAAGGCAAAATAAACCTTTATTTATGCGTCAAGTTTTCTTTTTTCCATCTTATATTTTTTGATTAACTTTAATTGGTACAGATATATAATTTCACAGATAAGAGATGGTATTTATTACAAAAGTAATAATAAATAGCTTTTGTCTTTATTAGAATATATCTCATAAAAATATACTCCATATATCTTTAATAGAAGGAGTTTTTTTAACAAATTTAAATCAAATTATTTCTTGTTTGGTTTCCTACAAGGTGACGTCACATACGGAAATATATTGTGGCAAACAATTGCATAAAGCATGGTGTATTTTGAATATTTTTTACTTTCAAAAGATTGTTTATGATTGGCAAAACGTTTTTGTCCATTCACCCTCTGTTATGTCAAGATATTGTTTATCGGGAACATTCTAGGAGGAAGCAACACATTTATATACCTCATTTTTTTATAAACGGCTTACACTCATTGGACAATTATTTTTTGTTTACAACTACAACTTTCTGTAGTTTTTTCATTTAGGTTTCTTTTTCGTTTAACAAAGCGTTATTGTGACCATTTATAATTTTTTCTATTTTTTTATGTGCAACTGTAGCTAACTTTAATTGTATTTTGATTAAAAATTTTATATAATTTATTAGAGGGTGGGAAATGCTTATCGACCAATTTTAAAAACACTTTCCTATGTTAGTGGAAACATTTTTGCTATATGTGGGATTGAACCAAGTTACATTTCTAGTTCTATTTCGCTTTTTACTTTTTTTTTTTCAGGGTCAAATTTTAGTTCAAAACCACTTTTTTTAAGGGCATCGTCAAATATTCGTTTAGAAGAATTAAATTTATTTTTATTAGAGGAGTTTTGGTTTAGCCTGTTATTAATTGAAGTCGGGATTTGTAATTGATTTTGGGGTAAATGATTTGAGTTAATATTATTTTAATTAATAATACTGAACTTAATAGTAGTGTTTGTAGTAGTGCGCTTTCGAGCCTGTTTGACACGGAACCCTAGGCAGCCATTGCAACCGAGGAAAAGAATCGCAGCACTTTGTTTATAAGAAAACGTGAACAAATGCGTATTCAAATATCTTCAAATAAGGTACGTAAAATAATGTATTCAAACAAGGTACGTAAACTTTGAATTAAGTAATGTTAAAACATGCTGAAACAATTATCAAACAATAATAATAATAATAATAATAATAATAATAATAATAATAATAATAATAATAATAATAGTAATAATAATAATAATAATAATAATAATAATAATAATAATAATAATAATAATAATAATAATAATAATAATAATATTAATAATAATAATATATAATAATAATATACAATACTGTTGAGATTTAACGCCTTGTTAAATCTTTTAAAGACATAACAAGAAAGTAAAAGATAGTCAATTAAGTCTTGTTTAGCTTTGAATAACTTGAGATTTTTAACTTCCACTATTTCACTCGGTAAAATGTTTCAGAACTTGACTGTGTGATTTGTAAAAAAACCTTTACGATTTCGAATTAAATATTTCTTATTGGTGAATAAATGATGTTTATTACCTCGAATGTTTGAACACGGACCAGAAGAATTTAAAGAGTATGAATGTTTAGAAAGTATTTTCCAAGTTATTTTCTCTATATCATAATACCATTTGTACATTTGTATTTTTCTATCATATTTATCTTTTTCAAGATAAGGACTCCATACCTGTATTGCAAACTCTAAGTGCGGCCGTATATAACTACAACACAACAATTTTATTAGTTCACTATTTTTATATTTAAATGATTTTTATATTATACCAAACACGGTTTTTAGAAAAAAAGTCAAGATATAACACAATGTCAATAAAAAGCACAGCTATGGTTAGTCTAAGGTAATTATATTGACTATTGTTTTGTTGAGCAGTAACAAGAGTTAATAGAAATTAATATAAACCATTCTTATTTAAGGTTTAGGATTTTTCAAAACTTCCAAAAGCAGATAATATTGCCATTTACTTTGACGTAAGGAAAAATTTAACAAGAGCAATGATAAATGATTCAAATGAACAGCTACATCCTATTATTGTGACAGTAGAACCTGGTCGTTAGTATATTGGTCATTTAACCCCCAAAATGCACCTAATCATCTAGATCATCTACATAATCTTACTGAATCATGTTGAGTACTTGATGCTGACAGTACTTCAATTAACACAGGCTAGAAAGGTGGTGCTATAACGCATCTTGAAAAGCTGTGAGGTCACAAGTGCCACTGAGCCATTTGCATACTTCATTGGAATTAATTATTTTTGCGTCACCTTATCGGAGACATTGATGGACCAACATTATGTATTACTGGATTTGTAGGTCCTGTGGGAAAAGTTCTTTCTGATGTTAATAAAATGGAGTATAATCCTCAATTCAGGCTTTTCTGAATGGAGAGATTTGTCGACATTCTAGAAAAAATATTAAAAAATATGTCAAC